AATTTTTTTTTTTTTTTTTTTAGTTGGAGTCTCACTGTTTGTTGCCCAGACTGGAGTGCAGTGGCATGCTCACGGCCACCGCAGCCTCCTCCTGCTAGACTTAGGCGATCCTTCTGCCTCAGCCTCCCAAGTAGCTGGAACTAAAGATGCACGCCACCACACCCTGCTAGTTTTTTGTGATTCGTTGTAAAGACGAGGTCTCACCAACTTGTCCAGGCTAGTCTTGAACTCCTGGGCTCAGGCAGTCCTCTCACCTCAGCCTCCCAAAGTGCTGGGATTACAGGCTGAGCCACTGTGCCTGGCCTGAACCAGTTTTACATAGCACACTTATTTTTTTGAGTCGGGGTCTCGGTGTGTTGCCCAGGCTGAAGTACAGTGGCATGATCACAATGATCATGCCTCACAGCAGCCCCAACCTCCTGGGTTCAGGCAGTCCTTCCACCTCAGCCTCCCAAGTAGTTGGGACGACAGGTGTGCACTACCGCGCTGGCTAATTTTTTTATTTTTATTTTTTTTGTAGAGACACGGTCTTGCTATGTTGTCCAGTCTGGTCTCAAACTCCTGGGCTCAAGCAATCCGCCCATCTCAGCCTCCCAAAGTGCTGAGATTACAGCACTCTGTACCCGGCCACATTACACACTTATTTAACTTTAGTCAGTCATTGGAATATGTAAATCTTTAATTTAGAAAGACTGATCGTGTCAATATTGGAAACTGAGGCCCTAGAGACAAAACTGGTGGCTGCTGACTGTGGTCCTTGCCAGCTTGCCCTAAAGCCCTTTGTCCCACCTGACTTCCTCCCTGCCCCTCCCCGGCAGTTCGTTACCCCTCAGTAACCTACACAAAATGTTCACTAATTTTTAACAGCCCTGCACTTGGAGAATGAGATTTAGGTTAACTGTTTTGTTTTTAAATGAAATTCTGTAAAGTTTCCATGGAAAAGAGGCACATTATTTCTGGCAAAAAGAGAAGTTAAATATGTGTTAAAGGATTTCCTGGCCCCTTTCTTCGTAGCTCTGGTTCTCAGCTGAACCCATTGCATCAGGGAGCGGGCACGCAGTGTGTTGGTGCTGTCTATGGAAGCGTCCAGCATACGGCCACAAAAAGAAATCTTTCATGCTTTTATCTTCTTTAAGAGTTGTTGGAGGCGGGCTTGGTGGCTCAGCCTGTAATCCCGTGCCTTTGGGAGGCTGAGGTGAGTGGATTGCCTGAGCCC